TGCCTTTGATTTTTTTTTTTGACTTTAAGAGGGTCCAAGTCTACTAAAACACTCATCTGAATGCAGCCTCTCTCATTTGGCCCCTGTCACACCTCAACCCCGTCCTCCCCCCCTGCCTCCCTCTTTCTCTTTTCTCTGTTTGCCTTCAGAAGCTGCCGACCAGAAGACAGCGTTCACCTGCTGCCTGACACTGCATAAACCAGCTGCTACTGTACCCCAGCGCACACACACACACACACACACACACACACACACACACACACACACACACACACACACACACACACACACACATACACACACACACACAGTCCTGTTGGGTTATTGTCAGTGAGTGTGGACATGGAATTGAAAGCGAGCCATCTGACAATGGCTGAAAAAGTCCCTGTGGTCGTCTGTGGTGCCTCCTGATGCTGCTGTTGTTGTTGTTGAGTGTGTGTGTGTGTGTGTGTGTGTACCAAGCAGCAGCACGTATACACTCTGTACATATACTGCTCACAGCAGAGGTTGGTGACCTGGTTTTATCCACAGGGAGGAACAGGAGTTTAACATTAACCAGTGGCTCCCCATCAGCAGAGACTAAGCCTGTTTGCAGTGTAGTGAGTGTGTAGCACATCATCATCGTCATCACAGCTAACACACTGTTGTTGTTCTCTGTTTCTCTTTGTTTCACTCACAATATAATTATTACAACTTGTGTGTGATTTCCACCATCATTTCTTCATGTGAACCACGAACCAAACACTCAACAGCACTAATATCACCTGTATCACTTACATACCATGTGACATAATAACTGCTGCTATGTCAGTTTAAAGTCATAATCTATAACTTTTCCTCATTAAAATATCTAAAACAACTAGACCTGTGTTCTATATGTTGTTGAGTGGTGTTCTCTAATGTGTCATTGGTCGCCTGTCAGTGACATCATATCCTCTATGATCATGTGTCAGTGTGTTTGTCTGACAGAAGCTCAACATTGACTTTTATCTAGTTTTAAGCCACATACACTTTTGACGGAGACGTCCTGTCCTGTGTCACTGAAGAGCGTCGCTGAATCTCTGCTTTTTAAAGGTAAACTGCTTTCTGGGTGTTTCTACTGGTTTTAATCCCCTGGTGTGTTTGTTGTGGAGAGGAGGACACCTCTGTGGAGAATTCAGCTGCTGGTAAAAACCTGCTGAACGTCTGCTTCATAAGTTATCAGAGAAACAATCAGAACAAAGGTTAGCATCAATCTCAGCTCCAACTCTTCCCTGAGTCTCTGTCCTCCGTACAGCGTCGCTCCAACACTGACTTTACATGTCAAACTGCTTCATTCAGTGTTTTTAACAGTTAGAATCACCAGGTCTGTTTGATTTCCTGAACCACTGATACTGAAGGAATCCAAACCGGGAGGAGCTTATGGTAATGGTGGTGAAGACAACAACTCCCATCGTCCCGCACTATTTCATGACATCACCGAACACTTGTCTCATTATTGTTTTGACTGAGAGAGCCCTGGAGGCAGAAGTTACAGGCTGTGTGTTTAACACATGATGATGTTAAGACGACTTTTTCTGAAATCATCTGTCAAATACACATGTACAAGACTGTGTATGATGTTTGTCATGTGAGAAACTAGAACTAATTAGTTTATGTTTATTGGACTTAAATACCAGTCACTCTTGATACAGTTCATTGATCTCTGTGGATCAGCCTGTTGGAGTGCTGAGACAAATCGAGCTGTTGTCTTTGTCCTGGCAGTTGCAGATTTATTGTCCTAGTAAAAAAAACCTACATGTGTCAACAACAACCTCAGTGAGGACACAAAGTGGAAACACTAAGAAGGAATTTCAAACTAAAAACAGTGAACACGTGATTTGTCTGAAAGCTGTGAAGCTCCTTCATGAGCTTTACTTTTTTTTTTTTTTTATCATGCACAAGATGAGAACTGTTGATTTAGTCAAACACTATGGCCACAGCAGAAGCAGATGATTACAGGGGCAATAAGTATTTTATTTTATTTTATTTTGAAACTTTATTTAATGTAATTTCAAGTATAGCAACATCTTACAACATGCAGCACCCATGAACCCCCGTCCTCATCCCAAACATACATAAGCAATAACCCAAACACACAAAACACAAATCACCATAAAATATCCCAATTATTCATTTCCATTGCTCCCTCTTGGCCACTTGGCTATTTGCAGTTGTGCATCGTGTTCAATATGTCCGCCCACAAAAGGCCAGAATTTCTCCACTGATCCTGAAGGCGAGTAACACGTTGTTTCCAGTGGTGTGTAACAACCCTCATCTGTGACTGACAGTTTCTGAACTTAATCAGAACCAATTGCAATAAACATATCCCTCCATTGGATTAGATAAACAACGATCCATCAGGGTGTAGGTCTCGTTTCAGAAATGGAAGCACGTGAAGTCAGAGGCTCTTCAAAAAATATATGTATTATAGTATAATAGTAATAAAAGTTCAGTCCAGTTGACCTTTGACCGGGGAAGTTTGGAGGCTCTCTGACGTCCAGCTCAGAGAGAGTTTTTATATTTGTGTTTCATCACTGCAGACAAATAACCAAACATCAGAGACGGGACGGTGTGCGACTGACAGCTCAGAGGTCAATGACAGTGACATGTTTGATTCAACTCTTCAACCTACAGCTGTGTGGACTGCTGTTGTTAGCCTGTTAGCCATGCTAGCTCCTGCAGGTGATGTTTACAACCCCACCCACACTACCTCCAGATCTTGCTCTGACTGCACCATCATGCTATATTTTGTGAAAGTGTTAGAACCTCTCGTCTTGTAAATGATTAATCAATTATCAAAATAATTGCTGATTAATTTTCTGTGGAATGATAGATCACAACTAATAGTGACTGTCCAGCCCCTGAACTACTGCTCTCAATCCACAGCTTTTACTTTGACATGTCAGATATACATGGACCTTTTAAATATGATCTATGACTTTATAACTTAGTTAAGAAACATGTTATACATTAGGTCATTATTATTATTATAGTTTATTTTTGCCCTTAATCAATGTGTCAGTGTCACAGATCATAAAACAGATGAGGCAACTCCAGTGGGGTGAATTTCTAACTCATGTTTTTTTTAATCTAATATTTACACCTGACTGTTCTGCATCAGTTTGTTCTTGTGTGTCAGACAGAGGCTGTGATTCTGGTGTAATCATTGACAGCAGCGCCCTCTACTGGCTCCTCGCTGGAATAGTTTAAAGCAACAGTTTTATCCTCCGTTCGGGTCATATTTTCTCTTTTTTTTGTCATCTTCAAAATGTCAAGAATCAAGTTTGTCACTAAACTCCTGCAGCCTGAGGACACATGATCCTGAGAGTTTGTATCTTATCACAACTGACAGAGCTGTGAACATAAATGAAAACATTCCCTGTGACATCTCATTATGATCAAAACTAAAGAGAGGACAACCATGATACAACAAGTCCAACGTCTAACAAGTGTTGTATGATGTAGAAGAGACCGGGGATGGTTGTAACATTTGACATTTCTGTCTGTATCTTTAAGCCAATTCCATTAAAATTCAATAACCACTTATATGTAGGTGATATTGAAAGATTTCTATTCAACACTTAATTGATTAACATAATTTGTGTGTCTGTGTGTGTGTGTGTGTGTGTGTGTAATGTTGTTACAAACAACCCAGACTCTTACAGCCATGAACAAGCTTAATCTACAGCTAACAGCTAAAACATTAGCAGTGACAACTAGCATGAAAATATCAACAGAAGAAGAAGAGTTAAACTTCAGAGCAGATATTGATATTACAAAAATAAATAAGGTAAAAAAAAAAATACTCTCTTACCTCAAAATGAGTTTTTCCTTCTAATGCAGTCTGTGTCTGTCACAGGGAGCTACATCCTCACATGTGGAACAAGGATTAGACTGAGCAGGTGAATCAGGTGATTCCTAACTTGTTCCTGATTGGAGAAATTGGAAGTGTAATACCTGACCCATGATACAACCATCCCTGGTCTCCCCTGCAGTCCAAACTGAAAGGAGTTGGACAGTTACACACTTTTGCTCTTCAGGCTCTGAGCTTCAGCACATTCAGTTTTAAACAAAATAATGGAAACTACATTTGAGTTACAGATTTTTTATGAGCAGGTTTTCATCAGTACTGAAAGAGCAGTGTGTGGGATAAAGCCATTTGAATACACAGTGCAAGTTTCACAGTTTTACAGTTTCAACTCAGTGTTTCAAACTGAATCTGCTGAAGAACAAAACATGTGTAACTGTCCACCTGAACTGATAATATTCATGTTCAGAAGCTGGAACCTGATCATTTTGGGCATTTTCTGATTAAACTGACTGAAATGATTACTCAGTTATTAAATTTCGACACATCACTGCTGCTCTAACTTAACAGAATATTAGAGCTGAAGGAGGTCTACAAACACCTGTATTTATCAGCTTCCTCCAGTGTGTTGTGATGGTCAGACTGTCAGTCTGCCTCATGTTCTCTACAGGATTCAATCCCCCTTACTGAAGCAGCAAAAACAGTAAGAACACTTCGTTATTCTTAATTAAAAGTACATCAGTGTATGGAAGTCTTTATAATCAAAATATCAGCGGACTCCTTCTGTGGGTTGACAACTTCCAGACAGGAAAATTTACCGATTAACACGTCAAAAGCATTTTATTACTACAGTTTTTTTGTTGTTATATTTAAATATCTAATTGTACATATCATATTTTTAATACTATTTATCTTTTTTAAGCATTTGATATCATCTTTTTGAAGTTTTTCTTTCTTGTACTGACACTTTGCTGCTGTAACCACTGTGGGACTAATAAAGGATTATCCATTATCTAGCTGGTGGAGGTGGATTTCAGTTCAACTAAAAAACACTGTTGGGTTTAATCTGTGACAGTTCAATTTCTAAAATCTCCAAATGTTTTTGTCTCAAGCTGAAACACAGCTTCAGATCAGTGTAGCGGAGCAGGAAGTAGAGGACAACACTGTAAAGTCTAGTTTGTGTTCAAACATTTTATTTTGACTTTGTTCTGTTAAATAGTTTTTAAAAACAAAACTCATTCTTGTCCGTTTCTTCGGTTCCAATTATGCATCTTCCTGAAACTCTCTCAATCACTGCAATAAATCCACTGTCTCGGTCAAACGGGAAACAACATCATGTCTTCCTGCTGGTCCTGAGTCTTACTGCTGTCCCCTCCTCAGACTGATCCAGTTTAACGAGGACCGTGGACTCTACGCGTCACACCCTCCCACAAAGACGGCAGTCAGATCGACACAGTCTCTGCTTCACACTCCAAACCTTCTACTGAGTCCGCCACAAACGGGTCAGCTGCCACCTCTGACACTGATCCCAGATCCGGAAGCCGGTAGCAGATCAGCTCACCTTCCTCTGTGGGAGGTCGTCTCGGCTCCTCCTCCTAATCATCACCGTCAGGACAGACTCAGAAAGACGTCCCCTCGGAGGTCTTGATATAGTCCTTGAAGTCAGTTGGGACGTTCAACATGGAGCAGACCTGGATGACGGCACACAGAGGTCAGCTGGAGGGCGTTCACTCAAAGATGAAGCATTACAGGCAGCGGCAATGGTAAGACATGGTTACACTTCCTGTCTCTACTTCGTCGTGATTGTTTGTTCATGTCAAAACATAACAACAGTACAATACAACACTAGATACAGTTTTGCGCCTGATTTTGCTGCTCGTTTTTATCTGCTAGCTTATATCTGATCAACCCAGCACAAGATCATATCAGTCTGATACTCTGTTTTCCCTCCAAAAACAGTTCAATAATAATAACAATAATAGTATTATAAAGCAAAGAAATACAAGTTTTATTTCAGTTTAATCTTTTAATTCATGGTTGCACGTATAGCAGTCCTTCTTAACGTCTGTGGTTGGAAAGTGACAGTAGCTCTACCGCAGCAAGGAAACCAGAGCCACAACCAACAGAGAGAAGAGATCTGCGTTGTGAGATCTCATGAGATCTTTATTCTAACTTTATTCAGACCTGTCTCTGTCTCAGTTGACAGGTCTGAATAAAGTTCATTTTCTCTTGATCCGCGGCTTGTGAGAAATTGATCCAACATTTATTTCAGTGACTATGACGTGAAAGAATCATAATCTGTGATCAGGTTCACGTCTCCCATTGGAGTGAACTGACTTAGATCTGCTGCTGGTCTCCTGAAGGGGCGGGGAGGTGGAGAAACCATGTGACACAGTTCCAGGAAATGATTGTAAGTGCACCATCTCCTGTCTCAGCTGTCTCTGGTTCATGTCACTTATAAAGCAGCTGACCTCAGTCCAGAGCAGATCAGACCTGTGTGAGACAGACTCTGTAGACAGGGACCAACTCAATGGTTTACCTATATACAGTGCACACCTGCTCTGTGTTACATTAGTGACACTGTTCAGTGTTAGCTAAGACAGCCATGTAGGTCACTAGGCAGCATCACACAGTGAGGTGAGGGTCAGACTTTCACCTCATTGAGACAGTGATGTGGATTTTTCTCTGTGGGTCATTTCATTAGCTTCAGCATTAAGGTAAGCATTAGCTTAGCTTTGGGTCTTACAGGTTACTGCAACTTCTGACTCTGCAGCTAATGAAACGGGGCTATATGTACGTTTTCTCTGCTGCTGAAAGTGGCTTCTTGTTAGGAGCAGGTGGTGGTGATTGTCTCTTGACAAGATCTTGAGTCATCGTTGCATTTACGAGACAAGAGGTTATAATACGTCCTCTGAGCAGCTAGTTCTTCAGGACAGACTGGACACTACAGTGGGTTGCTATCAGAAAGTGACAAGACGGGCCGGGGCTAGCTGGTTAGCATGCTAAAACAGTGATAGAGACAAGAGTTAACATTGGTGTATGTTTCCACCTCTGGAGACAGCTGTTGGCAAGTAAAGGAATGAAGACTCATGATGAACTCACGTTTCTTCTAGACTGGTAAGTAAACAGTTGCCAATGCTAACGTTACCTGTGTGGCAATAGCAAAACTTACAAATAGCTCATTTAAAGCCATGTGAAACTCAGCATTGTTAATTTATAGATTAGTATGAGTTCATTTCGGCTGTTGTCTTATCAACAACTCTTACAACAGCCAGCGCCTGAGAGAACCACAGCTCCACCTCAGCGTCTCTTCTCATGTGTGACTGACAGGTGTACAAAAGCCTACCAGTTTTACCCCTTAATGAGGCGACATCATGCATGCAGGCTCTCCCTCCTTCCCTCACTCCTGACATACAGCCCGGCCCATCACCACAACAAACAGAGTGCAGCAGTTAACCATAGTTAACGAGCGGTGCCGTAGTTAACGAGCGGTGCCGTAGTTGATGAGTTGAAGACTCTTTCCCTGCAGTTGTGATGGTGAAACTTGCCGAGGGACAATACTCTGGACTGTCTTTTACTCCCAATGTGTGCGTGAAGGATATAAATGCAAGCTGTGACATTTCTGTAGGGAATAATTATGCATTAGACTCGCTAACATGCTCTGTTGTTGTACATTTACCATGCTTGCTGACGGTTTGCTAGCTTAATGACCTTACTGTAGCTGTAACTGTAGCTTAAATGTATCAGCAGTTGTTCATGTTAATATAAGGCCAATGTGCTGAACAGAAGAAGTGGTCATTTAACACACATTGTAATTAACAGCGATTTCTATTGTTGAATTTATGTTTAAAGGGCCATTTTTCATTATATTTCATGTCCCTGTACCGTTACTGTACTTTCTGCTTTATTTCAGGCCACACACACATACACCAACAGCCAGGCCACACCTGTTTAACAAGTTTTGAAATAAATAAGCTTTCCTCCTACCTCAAAGATTCTCTGACCGGAATCATTTCCATAGTGTCCCAACCCATACCGCTTACCGAGGCTACGCTTCCTTATAACAGGTATCAGTCTGATTCGTGTTGACGAGAGGGGACTTCCCTGGTGTGAGATGTCAGTGTAGGCCTGTTACAGGCCAATCAGCTGAGGACACCTGTGTTATTGATACAAACTGTTCACTAAGTTTGTTGTTGGGTTGAACTCAGTGAAGCGGCTCTGTGCTCAGGGGTATGACCCTGGTCTAAGACAGTTTACAGCTGTGAGACTCTGCTGTTACCTTGACAACACCAGGAAGTGTTTTTATAGGATCTAACTGAAACATCTGGACATCCACAAAAATAAGAAACATCATGGTCCTTGTCTTTAGGCGTCCACTGCAGTCTTAAAGACACACAGAGCTGTTACACAACATGTAGATAATACACAGCGACATGTTGTATTAATTAGAACACATCGTTTGTTACCTGCAGCTCATCACTCACTCATAACACTGTGTCTCAGGTAACAGCAGAGTGACTGACAGCTCGTGCACCTGGACCACGCCAGCTTACAGTACACAGCAGCTGGAACAGACTTAGTATCAACAAATGGATCAGCCCGTTAGGACGACCTTCAGTATCACCAGGTTCAGGTGGGCAGGTGTGTGGAGTACCTGTCTGAACTTGGCGCGAAGCTTCTCCATGTCCTCCTGTAGCTTTTTTGACTGAGGATCGTCCTGAGGGCAGTTCTGGATCAAACCCAAGAGAGCCTCCAGAGCTTTCAGACGCTTCCTGAAGAGAGAGAGAGACACACACACACACACACACACACTGATCAGACAGGACTCTTTCAGAAACAGGTCATGTCCATGATCAATAAATGTTCTCTGATCTTTGAAACAGTCTCTGTGTCAGTGTCACTATTTCTTCATTTTTTTAACCTCATTTTATTGATGTTTTTCTTCAGTTACTGTATACGGTGTTTTTAGTGGTACTGTTCTTTCTGAGCTGTATCAAATGTTGTACTGACTGTTTTGATAAAGTGTGGCTACTTGTTATTATCATTATTAGTATTTTTACTGTTTTTTGTTTTTGTTATTTTCTTGTTCCCGTTTGTCGTTGATTTTAATTTACATTATAGCTTTGCGTTATGATGTCATGTTTACATGAGTGGACCCCAGGAAGAGTAGCTGCTACCTTGGTGGTGGCTGATGGGGATCCATATAAAAAAATAAATAACACTCCTACTCCTGTCAACCAACCTGTTGCCCCGGTGCATGCTGGGAGGCTTCCCAACACCACAATCATATGATCAATACTTAGCCAGTCGTATGAATGCTGATGTGACTTATGTTGTCTTTATTTCAAAATAAAAGCACACTGTTATTCCAGAGAACTCCATCCAAGTTTGACATGTATCTTCTGTCACTCAGCTGGATCAGAGATAACAGGATTATTTAAGCCTGACAACTGTATGTTAGCCAGGTTAACAGCCTGTTACCTTCAGTTATCTAGACTGTGGGTTATGAGATATGCAAGAAAATAAAAACTGTAAAAGTCTCCTAAAACTTAAAGGAAGGTGATCATACCTGGATTTGACATCTGTGTTATTTTGGAGGAGACATTTCCATGTGATGGCAAATCCATAATAGAAGGAAATCTGTAGGAGAACAAAGGGAAACACAAGTCAGGTCATTCAAGAAACCAAAGGAGTTACTGACCATGTGTTTAACTCACTGTCACAGACAAAGGAGGGTCAGAGGTTTGTTTTGGTGCGTAACAATAAACATAGTTAAAAAAGATAAAGTACTGCAGGTCAGGAAGTTTAAATATAATATTTTCTACTAAAATATTTTCACTAAAAATAAAAAAAAAATCAACACAAATGTCGGAGCTGATTATTCATACAGAGAAAAAACAGTTATGTGGCACGGATGACAGCACTGACTACTGAAACACAGTCATGTTCACCGCTCTCTCTCACCTCGGTGGACAGTTTGGCCCCATGAGAGGCCCCATGTCTGCGGCCGTCCTGCAGTCCTCGGCGGGTTCCCCTCTCGAAGCCCTCCCGGTACCCCTCCCCCCGGAACCTGAGGAAACGTCAGACCGTCACTCAGAGGCTGGAGAACAGTTTTACCAGTCATTGTCTTAATGTGAAAGTGTTGTACTGTGTCTCAGGTTTGTGTGTGTGTGTGTGCGTGCGTGCGTACGTGTGTGTGTGTGTGTGTGTGTGTGTCCTGATTACTCAGCGGAAGCTTTGCCGTGTGTCCAGGTGGGCACGTACCCGAGTAAACAAGCCTGATAACTCACTTTTCATCTGCCAGCACAATACTGTCGAACAGATCATCGGCCATCACTGTCTTCTTCTTCTTCCTCTTCCTCTTGTTCTTCTTCTTCGTCAGAGTCTCACAGTCCGTGTGTTTAAACCTCCACAGCGGTGAACCGACCTGCTGCTGATGCTGACACCGTTTATCGACAGTCTGCTCCGGTTTCCAGCGGCTTCCACCGATACGGCTGCACTTCCTCCAGCATCAGAGCAGTGCTGCCCCCTGCGGGCCCGGGGGAGAACGGGCTCCTGGTGCTGATATTTGGGTTGAGACAAAAACAAAGACATGATCGAAAAAGAATCTTGTTCTAATCCATTAACATCATAAACAGTGGTTTCCTTTAATTTCTCTGTTTATCACACTGGACCTTCTGTAAATTAGATCAGACTGTTTGACTTCCTCATCGCTGGACAGGCCTCAGGTTCCACACAGATATGTCAGACTGCTCTGTCGTGTTGGTCCAGTCTTCATGTTGCTCATAGATCAGTCTGATGTCAGACTGTTACACACAAATACAGACTGACTCATTTTAAGACTAAAACATTAGACACCTTACCCCCAGGCTAACTCGGACCTAAGACCAATGTTACCATGGTAACAATGAATGACACCTGCGCTGAGATGGCTCATAATTTGTGGTTTGCTAACATTGTTATAGAGAAAGTAAAGAGAAGAGAAAGACTTTTTAGACCAAATCACATTTTTCTTTCACTCTTCATGTTAAACGTCCTCGTAACTGTTGAATTCTTCCTAAAGACCAGCATTTTCTGCTGAGGGTGAACGGAGCTGAGAGGTTGGATGTGGCTCCTTGGTTGGCATTTTTTTTCATTTTGAAAAAAGTCTTAATTTACCCAGAATTCATTGAATTGAATTGAATTGAATTGAATTGAATGAATGAATTTAGACTCAGTCTATCTGAAGTCTGACTACTTGTTATATCTAAGACACAGTCAAAGTCTGAAACCAGGGTCATGGATGTTTCTGCATGTCCACAACTTGAGGAAAAAAAAAATAGAAATACACAATAATGATAATAATAATAATAATAATAATAATAATAATAATAATAATAATAATAATAATAATAATAATAAATGAAATTTAAATAAATATATGGATTGAAGGAATTTTTTGTCATATGGCAGTCGTGTATTTTCCATAAAATAAGAACCATGTACACATACACACAGTGTATATTTGACCCCTGCCAGTGTAACTGTCCTCATTCTGTACTGTGTCTGTCACCTATGCACTGATGGTTAATCAATCCATCTTAATTAAAAGATATTATAATTAGCTGTGTATTAGTGAATGAATTCAAATAATTTTCTCTTTTTTAATGTAGTTGTCTCCAAACACCTGTTTACATCATAACTTTACATTCTTATGCATTTACTGTCTTATTTGTACAAATGGATCCGAATTATTTTAATTATCAATTAATCTGACAATTTCTTTCTTGACTTCCGACCAAGGAATCTGTAGTTGATTGATTACTGATCATTTGTCTGCCGAGCAAGTGACCGACTAATCATTTCAGCTCTACAGATACATCACTGCCTCTTGGTCATTTCCTGTGTTTCTAACTGTGTGAAAGGCTGAAAAAAGTTGAATCAGCAGGATCACCCTGATCATCGCTACTATACCTGGTGTCCCTCAGATTATGAAGGAGTCCGTCTTTCACCAGCAGAGGGCGTTGTAGGACAAGTGGAGAAGAGGGGTGGGGGGGTTGGGGGGTCTGAATCAGCTGGACCTGTCTCATGTCCTCTCAGGGGTCCTCTAAAAAAGTAAACATGAGTAACTGTGGTTGTTTATCAGTGTTGTTTGAAAACAAACCGTCCTCAGTTCTAAGTCCAGTGGATTCATATCTGTGCTACCAGGAAAGAGAAGGTGTGATGTCACTGAACCATGTGTTCGTGTTTTCTCTCTGACAGCTGTGGAAACACAGCTGGAGGGTTTGGATCATTAACACAGATTAATGATTTAATTCTGAGTCTCACTGGTCCCTCAGGGGGTGGACATGTACACCAGTGAGGAGATGCATGTGTGTTAGTCGTCCTCCACCAACACTCTTACATCAAGGACGACCTACCTAATTTATTTTATTTTGTAGAAGCATGTTTCCATGGTGATATTAACCTGTTAACAGGTGCTGGGCAACAATTCCGTTTGGCCCTTCTCACCAGATTTTCCACCCCTCTACATTGTGTATGTATTCTGTCCTACATGTACAAGGCTTGATTACCAACTGGGAAAAGTCATTTAGGCCCCCGGGGGCCTGTGTTGCAGGTAGTTTGTAGTAGTCTGATAAGGGTCTTATGGAAGCTCTTCTTTACCTGATCTTGAGGTCCTTCTTGTAGAGGAGCCCTTTGAAAAAATCTATAACTTTGATTTTTCATTTGATATATTGACACTCTGAATATTCCCACAGCATACTTTAGGCTAGAGGGAGAGTCCAGCCCCGTGGCAGCTTCATAGACCTTTTGCACAGGACACAGTCTGACATGTGACAGCAGGTGTGACCATCACACGTGTGAAAAATGCTTCAGTTTCAGGGTCTGGTGTTCTGGATTCTGGTTCATGGTGGCTCGCTGTCTCGATGTTATGGTTTACTGGGACACATGGGCTGCCGGTGAAAATCTAAATAATTTCCTCTCTAACCACTTCTCCTTGATGTCAAACGCCATGAGGTCAAAGAATTTAAGGAGAGTTCAGAAAGACTTCAGAAAAGACAATCACAGTGCAGAGAGAATCCGACTGCACCTACACTGTTTTTTGTAACTAACTTTATTTATAACACCTGGAGGATAAATCCTCCTTTCCCAACCACAAAAACAACGTAAACAGGATTGAAATGTTGAAATAAGATCACATGAAAGAAATATACTAACAGAGAAAGTTGATCCATTAGAATAATAATTAAAAGGCCAGAGTGAATTCATTCAGATTTCCATCAGATGGTGTCACAAACATAAACAGCTCTGTTGTTTCTACATGTATGTCTGCCGAGGTGAAACTGCAATTGTGCATCGCTTTATATGTTGCTGCAGCAAGGAATTGTGGGACAGCATTTCAGTTTTCCTTCCCTAAAGGAAGCTCCAGTGTTTCCTATGCTAAAGGAGATGAGTAAGGAAGAATTGAAGCTCCTTATGTTATCATGTAGAGAAGTGGTGCAGGTCCGATCATGGCTGCTGCTCTGATGCTTCAGCTCATTTCACTCAGTGTGAAGCTTCCAGCCCTGGATCACACGGAGCCATCGTTAATGTCGTTAGTGACACCTGAGCTTTTGTTGCACAGCAAGTCAGTGTCTGAATGAGGATCTATTCTGTTCTGGAGTCTGTCTGGCTGAAGGCTTTTAAATTAACCATCTCAACACACACACACAAACAACACACACACACACACACACACACACACACATACACACACACACACACACACTAGTCTTACAGGCCCCAGCATTAGCTAACAACACATGACCTGTTTGACTGATATTCTACTTTAGCGATATAAGTTCTCTGACACATCTTTAATTAATCAAATGACCAAAACCTGACACACAGTGAACCAGAGGCTCCTGAGGCTCCTGAGACTCCTAGAGGCTCCACAGAGCAGTTGTCTGCTTTGCCTGTTTTTACGGTTAGTGTACATTCAGGATGTCATGATTATTAATTACACCTGTGATTGACCGGTGTATAAATGATAAATTATGTTTGCTTTGAGAAGTCAGTTTAGTTTAGGTTCAGGGTTTTGAAGTCTTTAGTCTAATATCCTAACTGGGAATCAGATTTTGATACACAGATATCCTGACTTTCATTGGTCAAGCTCCAAATATGGTGGAACCTAAAATTCCCATAATGCAACTGGATAACACCACACCTTTCCAGCTCCACAACCTGTCTCCTAAAAATGATCTATGAATGTAAAATCTTTGCAGTGTTTGTTTTGGTTTTCTCACAGAAAAACCTCCATCCGTAGTGACTCCAGATCTGACTCAAAACTTCACAACCTGTTTCTTTAAATTTAACCTGAACCTCCATCTTTTACCGACCTGAACCAAAGAGCTGATGTTGACTGGACCACAGACGGACTCTGGATATAAACCTGGTCTCTGATGTGAACCCGGACTATTTTGCTGTTTTAGGTAAGTTGTATAGAAACATCATTTTATTTCATCAAAAACATGTCTACATACCCCATGACTTCACCAAGATCCTTTCTCACACTTGACAAAAAAAATGTTGGTGTGCTCCTTTAATCATCATATAATATTATGAGAATTTAACAACTGTAATCTGTTAAAGACAGAATACCTGCTTACCTGCTTTAACTAAAGGAGTGTGTGTGTGTGTGTGTGTGTGTGTGTGTGTGTGTGTGTGTGTGTGTGTGTGTGTGTGTGTGTGTTACTACTGTGCACATGCAGACTCAAAAACACTGGCAAGGCTCCAGAGCAGCACAGCTGTGTAAATGGCAGCTGCACTGTTTGTTTGCACTGAGTGGTTGATGAAAAAAAAAATTAAAGGCTCCATTAGACGTTCATTGTGGTGATTTAACAAAGAGAAAACTTATGTGTCAGTCAGAGGTGAAGAAATGTACCTCACAACCTACCTAGACTGGATCGATTCAGTCCGGGACCATACAGTGTTTAAAGGGCCCCAGGGACCTTAATGAGTTTGTACAGTTTCTGTGAATGTGGTCTTTCAATATATGTTGTGTTTCTCTGGAGAAACCTCACAACAGAGACCTGCTGGCCGGACTCCAACCCTCACTCCTACCTCTGATCTGGATCATGTGAGAAGTTTAGCAGTGATAAGAGATGTTTTATTTTCTGCAAACAGACTCTGGAGTATAGAAGATTAGAAATGCCTAAATGAAAAAATCAAACAGTAAATAAAGTGAAATACAATACACACTGTTATGTGTACTTGCTTGTCATGTATGTATTTACTGTGGTATACTTAAATAAAAAAGATGTTGAATGACAATTGATTTTTGTCTTTAATAACTGAATGAACTGTTTTTACACTGTGACATGAATTTTTTCAAGACGCATTAAAATGTAATAAAACCACAGAAATCACAGTGAGGAGGTGTATAACATTTCAGTGTTGTCCAGCAGAGGGCAGCGCAGACCTGCCGCAAATAAATACAATGCATTAGT